GGTAGCATGCAGGGCCGGGATTGGAATTGCAGGAAATAAAACATGTGGCAATCTGAATTGTAAGTAAGTTCTCTAAGGTATTACAATTGCACATATTTGAACACACACATCAACAACACTATAAGCTACTTTCTTTTCCCTTTACCTCACTCTTCTATACACATTTTGGAACTGTTCTATCCTTGTGAGTGAGAACACATTTACACTCTTTTTTGAACACCATCCAAACCATGTTCTTACTCATTTTTCAATGCATATCCATGTCCCACTCCCACCCTTGTCCCATCTTGAAAGATGTTTCCTTTTTTTTGTGCATATACTCAAGTTTTCATGCATATAGTCATCCCCTTATTGTGCTGACTGGTGGCTACCACTTTTATAATATAACCATGGTAAGTGCCAGCAGAGCTGTGTGTATACAAGCCAGAATTTCAGTGAAAATGAACATAGTTGAGAAGGATGGAAGCATTGTGGAAGAGGAATTAAGTACTACTACTAGTGTCTGCAAAGCCATCATTGAGATGTTTCTTTCTATGACATGAATGTGTTATCCTGGACTTGAATTCTGACACCCTCTTGGCAAGATTGGTCAGAGAATGCACTAATCATATAAATATGAGAGTTAGTGAAAAATAAAAATTAAGCTCACTGCATACCTTTTTCCCTAGGGTTTACAATTATATCTGCTGGAACTGCTAGAGGTGGAGGATTCAATACAAGTGGTACTGAGTCTGAGGTTTCTTCTTCAGGGACTGTAATCCTCACATCGAGAACTTGAGTCTTGTAGGCTTCTTGGACATTGGGCATAGTGGCAATCTTGTGGGGAGATTCTGCTCCAAGAATTCTACTTTTCAATCTCTGAGCTTGGACATCCAGTTTCTTTGCCTCTGTGTATTTTTCCAGGATTTGATATGTGGCTGCAAGATATGCCATGGCATTGACTGTATCTGGGTGTTCTACTCCAAGAATTCTGGTGGTTGCATCCAGAACTTGGATCTGCAGTTTCTCTGCCTCTGTGTGTTTTCCCAGGGCTTGATATGTTGCTGCAAGATGTGCCATGGCATTGACTGTATCTGGGTGTTCTACTCCAAGAATTCTGGTGGTTGCATCCAGAACTTGGATCTGCAGCTTCTCTGCCTCTGTGTATTTTCCTATGTCTTGATATGTGGCTGCAAGATTTGCCATGGCAGTCATTGTACCTGGGTGTTCCACTCCAAGAACTCTGTTGCTTGCATCAAGAACTTGGATCTGCAGCTTCTCTGCCTCTGTGTATTTTCCTATGTCTTGATATGTGGCTGCAAGATTTGCCATGGCAGTCATTGTACCTGGGTGTTCCACTCCAAGAATTCTGTTGCTTGCATCAAAGAACTTGGATCTGCAGCTTCTCTGCCTCTGTGTATTTTTCCATGGCTATGATATGTGGATGCAAGATTTGCCATGGCAGTCATTGTATGTGGGTGTTCCACTCCAAGAACTCTGTTGCTTGCATCCAGAACTTGGATGTCTAGCTTCTCTGTCTCTGTGTATTTTCCCAGTCTATAATATGTTGATGCTAGATGTGCCATGGCATCAATTGTATCTGGGTGTTTCACTCCAAGGATTCTGTTCCTTGCATCTAGAACTTGGATCTGCAGCTTCTCTGCTTTTGCATATTTTCCCATGTTTCGATATGTAGCTGCAAGACTTCCCATGGCATTCATTGTATCTAGGTGTTTGAGTCCAAGAATTCTGGTCCTTGCTTCCATAACTTGGATCTGCAACTGCTCTGCCTCTGTGTATTTTCCCAGCTTTTCATATGTTGCTGCTAGACTTGCCATGGCCTTGATCATGTCTGGATGTTCCACCCCAAGAATCCTGTTTCTTGTATCCAGAACTTTAATCTGTAACTTTTCAGATTCTCTGAAATATCCTTGTTCCATCAACAATCTCCCACACTTTGCATAAGCATCATCTAAGTAAGTAACACCATTTCTGTTACTTTCTGATCTGGAATGCTCTATATTTGCTCTTATATGTGTTACCAAGGCCCTCTGAAATCCATATGGTTGGCTGTTATTCCATCTTAGTCTTAGTGAACAAGACAAAGTAACATATGCCATTAGACAACATTGTTTCTTCCCATTTGAAAGCATTCTGTCTCTGCCCCATGTATGGACCAGTGGATGCATTCCATACACACCAGCAGATGGGCCTTTTTTGATCAAGGAGAATGACAGTAATATTTGAACTCCCTCTTTAAAGACAAAGTTATCCCAAGTACCCAATTTATTGAGAGGAAGTAGTCTCTGGTCCAGCAGAGAACTGCCAAGAGGTAACTTTGAGCCAGAACTTTTCTTGTCTTCTTGAAGGGCAGCATAAAAAAAGATGTCTTCAGTAATCCCCTCATGATGGAAGAAAGGAAATAATTCCATGAGGAGTATTGCACTATTGGCTGCTTTGGCCTTATGAAAATCATCAGATGTAGCCCTTCTTTGAATTTCTTTGTATGATAACTCCCAAGTTTCATAAACAGTTTTGTTATACTTAGAAGCTCCAGTAAAATCTGAATGAAATAATAGTGTCTTTCGGTGCTCTGAATATTTTGCAAGGTAGTCTCTGATAATGGTTGCTCCAGAAGCAATGTAAGCACCAGCCTGATCAATTGCAAGAGGAAGACAGAAGAGCTCTTTCACAATCTTAGAAGCTTCAGATTGAAACTCTATTGAAGATGAATTCAAGCAACTAGCTTTTAGAAGTAATTCAAGAGCATCATTCTCTTCCATCTCAGTTATTTCAAGAGAGTTCTCAGGTGAAGTCAGCCTCCTCATGGCAGAATTGCGACTAGTTATCAGAATATTTCCCCCCCTTCCAGGTGGAAGATAAGCTTCCAGCTCAGCAGGTGATAGAACATCAGCATTGTCAAACACGTTACACCATTGCATAGTTCTCTTTCAGTAAGCCAATCCAGCAAAGAGCAGATTCAGGTGACCCATCCAGTGCAGAAAGCTGAGCCTCAGAAAGGTTACAGATACCCTTCAGTGCCTGTGTGATGGTGCTAACTGAGGATGCATCAATCCAAAAAACAAAACAAAAGCTGAAGGTAATCAAATTTGAATCAAAAGGTGTTGAAGTTATATACAGTAGATACTCACTGGTCAGACATCTCGTCGACAAACTTCAAGCAAATCTGAGTCTTTCCAATACCCCCCATTCCGTGCAACAGGAAGAACTTTCTCTTCTTAGCTCCATCGTTTGTGTTAGTAAAAAAATGCCTCTTGAGTTTGGCAATGACTTCTGTCCGCCCTGTGAACCGATTGTTTGGGTTTGGCATGAGGGGGATCACCCCGTCGGACGTCGTCCTATTGCCGTTGTGGATGTTGTGGATGTGCATCTGCTGGAGGTCCGTACTATCAGTCTGGTTCACTCGGACATGATGACCATTCTAATTACTCACAGTGTTAGCGATATTGATCGTGCTGTTCTCAACAAGAACGCCGTGAGCGCCCTCGAACACGTTCAGTACGCTCATGTTAAGATATCAACGATGGAGAGGTTTCGGATGAGAGAGGGAAAGGAAGAAAGGGGAGCGCCCAGACGCCAAAAGACCCCAATCATGAGTTGGTCTATTTGTATATATGTATTATGTATACACAAGCACGTGCCTGGGCTTTTCCGACTCAAGATTCTCCTTTCCTTCGTTCTTCGGCCGCTTACCTGATTCTGTGGACTGGCTCGACTTTCTAGCATGTTGGTATGGCACATACAGGGCTCACGACCAGAGAACGAAATCCGCTGGCGTTGAAGGTGCCTATTTATATTGTAATAGGCGGTGCTTTACAGTTGAACTCTGCATTTTCCCCATCTAAGTTCGAAGAATTTTCTGGAAATGAAGGTGCGTGGTGTACTCACTAGACATAGCATCGTCGGCTGACAATCTTTTTGGTAGCCTTTATGGCAGATTTAGCTGGGTAACATCAGCATCCAACACCAGAAAACCGTACGCGATCTAAATGTAACAGCCTTTCCAGTGTCGCCATCGCTCGAAGTTAGTGGCCGGGTCAGAAGGCACCGAGTTCGCCCTTGTCTCAACATCCGTTGTTATCGCTGCAAACTCTTTTCCAAGGACAGATTTGCGCGGTGGCTCAGTGCATTGCGTTCCAGTGCTTGTGTTGAATCACATTGTGGGAGGTCAGCTTGGGGCTCCTTGGTTTGCTTGACGGAGAACGTCAAGTGAGTTTATATTCTTTTCTACGGAGGCGGTAGCTAACGATTGTTTACGCAGCTGGCTCTATTGATTCTCACCGTATTCCCTCGCACACCCACATTTGCTCACTCCTCCTAAACCAACGGCCAATGAAAGTTGATTTTGAAGTTCCCTCAAATTGCACCCTTCTCTGCACAGGCACATCGTCTACGCCTCCCAGTTTCCCATCCCCTCCCTCAGGTTCGGAAGCCAAGCAATTCTTCACCCTTCTCACCTTCCTCCCGACTGATGTCGATCGTTGGGAAGGCCACTTAAATTCCACAGACGCACGACTTCATTTCGGTATTTGGGGTCTCGGGGGAGATTAAAGGTGGTGAGGTTCCCGTCGTTTACGGGCGGGTATCCACTTCAGTCACCCATTTTAGGGTACCCCCGAGGTATATGAATTCTTTGATTTAAGGGTACCTCAAGGGTACCCATTCCAGAGTGGTATGTGAGCACCATACCAATACCATGGTACCATGGAATGGAAAACTCATACCATATCCCACTCATACCAATACCAAGTTACCATACCATACCATGTCATGTTATACCATACCAGATGGTATGATACCATCATACCAAAGCTGTCACAGGGTGTCTGGGGTCCTTTTACAAAATAAATAAATAAATTCTGCAGGCTGCAATACTGGTCCATTGGGTACCATTTTTTGTGGGGTGGTTCTCCATGTTTTCTGAGATAT